TTTTTTTGAGAGGGATTGTGTTCCTGTTTTATGGGTTGTTTGGCCTGAGGCTTCCAACACTGGAGTTTGTAGGCTATTGGGTAGAGCTGGGTCTTGGTGCTGAGACGAGGAACTCTGTGAGACCTCACTCCAATGAATATTCCCAGGGGTCTGAGGTTCTCTGTTAGTGCAATGGTTTGGACTCAGAGCTCCCACTGCAGGACCTTCCCCCCGACTCCGTGTTGGCAAATCAAGATCCCACAAGCCACGTGGGGTGGCCCCCCAAGAAAAAAAGAGAGAACAATAACAAAGTAAAAAATAAAATTAGACTAGGGAACTAACAGATATGTTAGAAAGAATGTAAAAATAAAAATATAGATGAATCAACAACCACAAGGTATGTCAGTACCATAATAGTAAAAAAGAGGAGGAGGGAAAAGAAAAAAAAAAAAAGGAAGGGGGAAAGGCCTTGGCTGTGGAGAGTGGGGCCTAAGAAAGGGTGAGGTTTGGGTGGTGGGCAGGGCCAATGCTCAGGACCTACAGGGCTGGAAAACCCTGGGGGCTGTGGGCGGTGGGGCTTAGGCTCCAGGAACAGAAGGGGCCCAGGCGTGCCCCCCACCCCTGGTCTCAGAGGGCAGGGCACCTCACCAGGGAGCCCAGCAGGCTTCCTGGGCTCGAGTGGGCAGGGCAATCGCCCTCCACTCCTCTCCCGCCTGTCTTTCCTGATCTCCCTGGCCTCCCTCCTATGCCCCCAGGACCCACACGGCCTAGAGGGCGCTTTGGATTGCAGGGGACCGGCCTGGGAGCTCAGCAGGCTCCCCGGGCCCCAGTGAGCAGGGCAATTGCCCTCCGCTCCTCTCCCGTGCCTCCCGGAGAGTCCCTACCACCTGCCTCTCCTGATCTCCCTGGCCTCAGGGGTGCTGATCTGGTGTGACCTCCAGTTCTCCCCCCTCGGTCCCCCTACGTCCTACCAGTTCACTCTGGGGTTCCTCCTGTCTCTTTGGGGGTTAGAGTCCCCACCAGCAGCTGGCAGGCGCCCTAGTTGTGGGGAGACGCTAACTCCACGTCTTCCCACACCACCATCTTGACTCCTCCTGTTGGGTTTTAAGAGCACATCTAGCATCCAAATCTTGGTTTCTAAAAACTATCCCTGACTAAAAGGAACAGAACTCCTTGGAAAAGCAGTTGATTACTGATCTGGGCAGGGAAAAGACAAGATGAGCCCGGAGCATCTTATGGTACTACAATGTAAGACAGTGCTCATCAAAAGGTAAGGGCCAGTCTAAAGGGCAGACAAGCCTATATGACAGAGGCCCCCAGTGACCAAAGCTGGGATAATCTGAACAACAAAATAAATAATGATTGTATTAGATTATAACCTATGGAATAAAAAAAAATATCCATGAGCCTATATTGGTAATGTACAAATGATTCAGTAAATAAATAAATGAAGCAGAAGGGATGGCTCTTCCTTAGAGAATAATTCTAACTAAATAATATCCAAGAAATAAGAGACATAGAAAATCACTGTTAGAATGCCATGACAACAATGAAGGCAGGCAAGATCCACCAATGGATGCTAAAAATAATGAGTGAAAGTGAGGTGAAACAGGATATCTGCAGCCTTAAACTTTCTACCCTGGTATATTCATTAACCACAAAGAGAAAAATAGTAACTTCACAGTGCAGAAACACCACAGACATGAACTAAACTAAATGATCCAGGCTATTGCCATCAGTAATAAGACATATTGACCCCTTACACTGCTGACGTGATATATTGAGAAGGGAACATCACTTCTGTAGTATTCTTGCCAAAAATGCATGGCGTCCATCTACTCGTGAGAGAACATCAGACAACCCACACTGAGGAACGTTCTATACAGTAACTGATCCATACTCCTCAAAATGTCAAGGTCAGAAAGACAAGGAGAGACTGAGGAACTGTCACAGATTGTAGGAGATGAAGGAGACAAGACAACTAACACCCCAGAAAACAAGGACATTAGTGGAAGAACGGGTGAAATCAAATTTGCAGTTTAGTAATGTACCAATTCTCTAATTGTATCAATTAGTATTTTACTAATTCTTAGTTTTGATAATTGTACTGTGGTTATGTATAATGTAAACATTAGTGAAAACTAAGTGAAGGGTATACAGAAACTTTCTGTACTATTTTTGCAGCTTTTCTGTAAGTCTAAAATTATTTCGAGGGACTTCCCTGGTGGTCCAGTGACTAAGACTTTGCGCTCCCAATGCAGGGGACCTGGGTTCGATCCCTGGTTGGGGAACTAGATCTCACACGCCGCAACTAAGAGTTTGCCTCAACTAAAGATCCCACATGCCACAACTAAGATCTGGTGCAGTCAAATAAATAAAATAAAATAAATAAATATTTTTAACAAAAATAAATAAATAAATAAAATTACTTTGAAACAAAAAGGTAAAAATAATTTCGATACTCACCCTTTATCCGTTAATCATATGAAAATATCTTCCTCTTTTGGCACTCTGGTTGAGTTGATGCGTCTCCGAGCTGGAATGTTAGCTGTTCCTTCCAAAGGCCGTTCCTTCCAAAGGCCATTCCTTCTATTGCTCTGTCAGGTCGGCGGCCTCAGGATGGGGAGGTAGACATTAGGATTAGTGGATCCCATGGTCATCTGCCCATTACTGCACCCGCCTTTGCTAAAAAGTGGATCACTTGGCCTGAGGGGATGGTATGTGATATACCATGTCGGTGGGTCAAACACTGTGTGAGCCTTCAGATGCTGGTGCTGGCTGAGGCCATGCAGGCAGGAGAGGCTAACCCATACGCATAATATGTACTGCATTGATTTCAGTCAAGATAAATTGCTCCCTGTCCAGAGTGGAAAGGGTCTGACGTGGTCAACTTGTTACCAAGTGGCTGGCTGGTCTCCCTGAGGAATGGTGCCATGTGGCAGATTCAGTGTCGCTGTAGGGTGAACACTCAGCAGTGGCAGCAGCTAGGTCACCCTTAGTGAGTGGGTGTCCATGCTGGTGGACCTGTTACTAGCCTCTCCCCTACTGCCATTGTGCCAGCGCTGGGGGGGTCTTTCACAGCGGCTGGCCGATGACTGCTGGCTGAATCACGCTGTTTACTTGGTTTAGTCTCTTCCATGGTAGATGCTCTCTGGTGGGCGTTGACATATGATACGCGTGCTATAAAGACCTCACTTTGTATCTGGTCCTCAAGGTCCATCTATATGCCTCTTCTCCAAACCTCCTTGACCCTGATGTTCCAATCTCCTCATAGGCCCCTGACCAACCAGCCAAGCCATTCACCATTGCCCATGGGCCCATATATATTCTTCTATTGGACCCCTTTTCTTTCTACAAAAGGGGATGACTAGGTGCATGACCTGGAGCTCTGCCAATCGGGAGGATCTCAGGGTTACCCCCAAGTGGGGCTGTAGTACAACAGTCCATCTTCAGCTCAAACCCTCATATTGAGCCAATCCATTCACGAATCAAGCTTGAACTTTTTCCTCCTCCATCAGCTGGTCATAAGAGTTCCCCCATACGGCTGTAGGTGTGAGCTGAGGGAAAGGTACTGGCCAAGCAATGGTGGGTGACATGGGGGTCTGGGCCACCTACTCATGCAGCTGACTTTGCCCTCTGGCCCTGCTTGTGCCCAATTTTCTTGTTCCCCTTTTTGTTTTGGACCTGCCTGACTTTATGACTTGGTGGGTCTAATAGAAGACAGGTCATGACAGCCAGCTCTGGCCACATGATCACTCAATGATATCTTGTGGCCACACTCACCATCTTAACCAGGACCCAGTAGTAGGCTGGGGCAGTTTTTTGTATAGTGTGTAGGTCTCTGTTGCAGATGTCATGACCCTGCTCCAGAACCTTAGGAATCTCTATCATGGCTCTTCTTTTTAGGGTTTGCCACAAAACTACCTGGCATCTCTCCTCCATCCATAGATACCTCTAGTACCAACGGCTACATGTGGCTAACAGCTACCATATTGGAAAGCACAGATACAGAACATTTCTATCAGTTCAGCAAGTGTATCAGACAGCACCACATCTAGATCTAACAGTTTACAAGAAGTACAGAATCTCACAAGGATACAACCATCCAAAAACAGAATGCGGAAAATTCTACAGAACAAGTGACCCAGTTTCTTTAACAAATAAATGTCATGGAAGAATGGGGGAGAGGGAAACTGTTCTAGATTAAGTTGCTTATGAGACACATTAACCAAATACATTGTGTGGACTTTCCCTGGATCTTGATTTGAACTAACCAACTGTAAAAGAGATGTTTTTTGAGATAAGCCAGTTAAGCAACACACTGAGAATGGAAATGTGGGCTCATTCAAATGTGGATGGGGAGAAGGACCCAAGTAGGAGTTTGTATTCCTGGTTTGACTGGGAAGAAAAACAAAGCCAGAAATAGCTTTATCTCAGTAATGTTAGCAACACGCTTCTTCAAATTTGCTGTGGGAGGAAAACAGAGCTTGGAATACTTTCAAGAGCAGCAGCCACATCACTCCCCTCGATCCTGGGATATGCCCAGTGGGAGAGTGGAGACAAAGGGATGCGACAGTCTTTTCCTTCGCTTATCTGGCAAACTGCTGCTCATCCTTAGCACTCCTCTTCCAGGAAGTCTTCCTGGCTTGCCTTACTGCCCTACCCCATCCTAACCCCCAAGAGCCTCCCTGTGCTTTCCTCCTCATAGTCCTGATCAAGGCCTACCCTAACTGTGACACTGGAGCTGGGACTTGCAGGGTGAGAAAGATCAAGGGTGTGTCCCAAGCCCCCGAGCTTTGCTGGAGCTCTGGGTATTCGGACCACAAGAAGCCACTGCATAGTCTTAAGCCAGGAAGTGGCGGCTGTTCTGTTTCCCTTTGTGCTTAGTAAGCCTCACCTCTCCTTTAAGAAGTACTGACTCAGTGAGGGCTGGCAGGGCCACCTTAAGGCCGTGCCACCTTAAGCAGCCCTGCCCCCAGCACAACCAATAGGCTGGGGTGGTCACCGGCTGTTGCCCAGCTATGGCCAGCCTGCTCCGGGCTGCAACTTGGGGGATGTTCCCCTGGAGGAGCTACTGCTCCAGGGGGACGCAGGTAGGTGGGAGGAGAGGAGCCCCTTAGAGGGTGGGGGGCCCCCGATGCCGAGTTCTGGCCAGACTCTGTGCTGCCCCAGCACCAGGAGACCTTGAGCAGAGGCTCGCTGGGCTCACCCCAGGTCAAATGTGGGTGTTCAGTGAGCTGGGCTGAAGCCCTCACAGCTGCCATGAGTGGGGCTGGGGGGTGTCAAATGAAAGATTTGTGGACTCTAGGGCACCCCTTTGAGGCCCCGGAATGCACACACATTTTGAAAGAATGCCTGGGAGGCAAGGAGCTGGGTTCTAGGCCAGGCCCTGTCCTGGACTTGCTGGCCTCTTTTCCTCATCTGTAAAATGGGAAGAAATCCCCAGAAGGGGTCCAAGAGCCCTACGAGCCCCCGGCCAAGGCGGGGTAGGGGTGTGGGTGCCTCTGTTCACAGGCAATGGGACCCCCACTCCCACCCCTCCCACCGGCCAGGTGGCCCCAGGTATCTTTGAGTGACCCTGCCAATGTGTTTCTCCCCTGCAGGGTGAGCTCAGCGAGGGATTTGTGGAGGCTTTGAAGGCAGTTGTTGGGAGCCCTCATGTGACTACTGCTGCTGTGGTCCGAGAGCAGCACGGGCACGATGAGTCAATGCACAGGTGGGCTCCGCCACCCACTGCATCAGAACCCCTGGCTGGGAGTGAGGGTCCTGGGTTATCTTCTGCCCCTCAACCCCCGCCATGTATTCTTGGGTGCTCTGGCATTCTCCACCTCTCCTCTATGCCCCCAGAAGGGTGTTCTCTGCCCCTCGCTCACTGTGTAGCCTCAGGCCCTGCCATACCTTCAAACTTGAGCAGGACCAGAGGATACCACACACCCCTACATTGCTGAGGGTCTGGTTCCAGGTGCCAACCTCCGGACGCCGTGGTGTGGCCCCAGAATGTGGAGCAGGTCAGCCGGCTGGCAGCCCTGTGTTATGGCCAAGGCGTGCCCATCATCCCATTCGGCTCGGGCACCGGGCTTGAGGGTGGAGTCTGTGCCGTGCAGGTATGTATGGTGGGTGGCCTCCTCCCCCGGCCAGGCTCTAGTCCCACCACACTTGTCACACCGGCAGCTGCCTCCTCCACCACACCAGCCTGGCTGGCCAGGTCCAGCCCTCCTTACCTGCCATCCCGGGGCTCTGGTGTGGCTGCTGGGAGGTCGGCCTCGAGCTGGGGTCCTGGGGGCTGTGTCCTGGCGAAAGATCTAGGTCAGTGACCGCTTGAACGCCCTCCGCCAGGGCGGCGTCTGTGTCAACCTGACCCACATGGACCGAATCCTGGAGCTGAATCCGGAAGACTTCTCTGTGGTGGTACAGCCCGGTGTCACCCGCAAAGCCCTCAACTCCCACCTGCGCGACAGCGGCCTCTGGTTCCCTGTGGGTAGGCTGGGGCTCCAGGACTTTCCTGGGCCTGGAGGGCTCCCTGGTGGCAGGCGTGTTTCTGGGGCTTGGCGGGATCCCTCTGCCCAGGGGCACCCGCCCCAGGCTTCCTTCTGCCTGCCCTCTGCCCTCCAGACCCAGGTGCAGACGCCTCTCTCTGCGGCATGGTGGCCACCGGCGCCTCGGGCACAAACGCTGTGCGCTACGGCACCATGCGCGACAACGTGCTGAACCTAGAGGTGGTGCTGCCGGGAGGGCGGCTGCTTCACACCGCGGGCCGGGGACGTCACTTCCGGTGAGCGCCCTCTACCGGCGGCGACGGGGGCCTCCTGGAGAGGCGGGTCACGAAACTGCCCTGTGGGCCAAAGCTGGTGGTCCGGAGGCCTGTTTGGGCTGTGCCAGGAAACGGCTGCCTGGGTGGCAGTCTGCACAGAGGCGGGTCAGCCCAGACCTCAGGCTTAGCTCCCCACCTGGCTTCTGGCCAGAAATCTGTCGTCACGTGGCCTGGGCACTCACCTACCTCATGTCCCCGGGGTCCCAGGAAGAGTGCAGCTGGCTACAACCTCACAGGGCTGTTTGTGGGCTCCGAGGGAACGCTGGGCCTCATCACGGCCGCCACACTGCGCCTGCACCCTGCCCCTGAGGCCACGGTGGCCGCCACCTGTGCCTTCCCCAGCGTCCAGGCGGCCGTGGACAGCACCATACACATCCTCCAGGCTGCAGTGCCCGTGGCCCGCATTGGTGAGCCTGGGATTGGGCCGTCCAGGTGGGCTCCCTGGAGGAGGCCCCCTTTGAAGGCCATGCGTCACCTCACGTGGCCTCTCCTTGGTCCCAGAGTTCCTGGATGACGTCATGATGGATGCCTGCAACAGGCATAGCAAGCTGAACTGCTGCGTGGCGCCCACGCTCT